CAAGTGAGAAACAGCTAAGCTACTTCCTTTTGCCGAACAACTTCCTCGTCACCCACATTTCGACCCTCGAATGAACGCGTGCGAGCGTTCGTCGCAAGATCGGGTCGAGGTCGCGGGCGGTGGATCCGATGGCAAAACTGTCGTTACGCCTGCCAACCTCGAGGAAGGTCGAGGTCGTTTCGGGATTCTCAAAGGGGGCCGCCGCGGGGATGAGGGCGTGCGGGTGATTACCGAAAATGGCCGTGTATTTGCCGCAATTACCGGAACAACGGTAACAAAACAAAGCACACCAAAGCATGGGTCGACCATCTGTTGGATAATAGTCCGTTTCGAGCCTGTTCAGGGAACAGGCTAGTTCTATGAATCACGGGCAAGGGAAAAGAGGCGGTCGAACCTCGAGAATTGACCGAGGAAGATGTCAGGTGGATCGTTCGATCGTTTCTGTGTTTACAAAAATTAACGCGATATATATATATATATATATATATATATATATATATATATATATATATATCGAGATGCCGCGTAGAATCGTGGAAAAAGAGAGGAGATCGAACTTGCTTGCGAGATCAGGGAAAATTCTGTCTGGCAAATTCTGGATGGTAACGAACAGATGTTTTACATTGTTCGTAAGTGATTCGCGATAAAAACACAGCAAAGTCGATCTTTTTATCGAAGTGAGTACTTCTTGTAGTCAGTGTATACCGCAAGCTTTTCCTGCTTCGGTGAAAACAGCTGATTCAGCCAAGCAGATCGTTGCGGAGTAAAGTCGAATTTTACAGAGATTCCCCGTCACCGCCGAGAAACTTACAGTCAGTCTACATCTACGACGCTCAAATATTTATAGACACTAAGTTACCAGTTAAACATCAATAAATCGCGAAATTTACAGTTACCATAAGTACATTAAAATTTGCAAAATACCTTCTCATTGTTATCAGGTTTATAAATATAGTATAGTGCTTTGAAAAAAAATACAACGCTTCCTATGATACCTGTCTGGTACACGTAAAACAATTTTCTACTCCCCTACTTTTTAATCATACGAATTTGCCCAAAAATCCTCCTTTAAACATCGTCGATGTTCTAGAATTCGTTTAATTTTTCACTAACGAATCGATCGAGATCCATGAGATATCCAAAGGACTCTTCTTTTTCTGTTTCAAATGGTGAATTTGACAGATGTACGCAGTCTTCTCTAGCTCCGACTGTAAAGCGAGGGAACAGCTCTCGGGTCAAGGCGGGGAAGTCGCGGAGAGAATTGATTAGAAAACCGTCGATTTTAATAGCCGATAAATCACCGGTTTCACCATCCACTCGGACTGCAACGCCGAGTTCGCAGTGCCGCGCTTGATTATGAGAGGCTGCTTGCTGCCCGCGCAAGAAACAGACGGCGGTTTTCTAATTAACGGTTGCTAATTCCCTCGTAAACGTTACGGACAAGCGTTCACACTCACGGACAAGGCGAGAGCCATCCAAGTCAAATTATTTAACCTGCCGAGGTTGAACTCGACGGCCGCCTGTACGAAACGTTTCCTCTACTTTACTTTGTTGCGCTCGACGTGTCGTTTATCGAGACGCCCCGACGTTTATGGCTGCCGTGAAGGATCAAGCGAATTTCCACGTTCCTTCGAGCCGGTCTCGTCGGCTTTCAAAATATCAGTCAGTCCATAAATTGTACTATGTGAATTCTTGAAAATCTGGACCGCGCGAGGATTCAAACGTCGGGTCTCGATGATGATTATTTCAATTCTCGAATCAACATTGCATGAAATAATCAATCGACTTGTAATTTATCAAACCTGTTGCTCTCGTATCGTACAATTTATTAGTATCCTCGGCTCATTCACGACTGCGAATTCGAGATCTGGAATTATTGTTCATGGTGTTTACTGTGAGAATTTCCTTGAAGAGGTATTAAATGAAAGGCATACGTTTGAAAATGATCGTATTATATTGGCGCATGTTTGCTCGGAAAGCAGTAATATTCGTCGAAAGTATTCTTTAGACAGATACAAAGCAAAGAAATGTTCAACGTACTTAACGAAAGAACTGGAACAAAATTGACAAACTTAAAACACGCATCGAACGTTATATATTAAAAATGTAACAAAGTAAAAAAATGAAAGGAAGAAACTAGGAATCTAGAAATTCCATCGGCAGACAACAATAGTCGAAATGCTGGGTGTTGTTCGAGTGCAGTAGGTGTTCGTGATTGAATTTTTTACTCGTGAAATTCATAGGAATTTTGTGATCGAGGAAGTTTTGAAAATTTTTAATGATCAAAGAGTCACGAGATGATTCGCAATTGTTAGCTTCCTCGTAAGAGAGTTCTTCTTGGAAATGGCTGAACGACGAACATGCCCTTGAGAAAGTGGGTTTTATCATCGGGCTGACGACTATCCGCTCAGAATTGTCAATGTCCGGACTTTCCAAGTCTTCCCGCTACTCAACGATTATGATCATCACGTATGCACCTCTGCAATAGTGAGACGAGCCCGTGAACGCAAGTTCCTTGAACTCTTTGATTGACTTTTTAAATTTTTGCTTGCATTTTATCTGAAGAAATTAATATCCAACCATTTTTTTTTTTTTTTTATTTTTTCTTTTTATTTTTTCCAACGGAATGATCGATGAAAACTCTTTTTGATTAAATTCTTTAATTCAATTGAAAAAATAATACTTGATAATTTTTTTTCTTTCTAACGAAACAGAACGATTGACAAGAATTCCTTTTGAAATGATTGAACTTGTTGGTTTGTTACACAAGAAAATGTTTCATAACTCTCTCCTTCTTCTTGGTATAGAGCGATCTTGATAGAACTCTTTGATTCTTGAACTTTTCTTCATTTTCTTCACCTGAAGGAACCACGTTTTCGCAGCTCATTTCTCGATCGAATAACCATACATTGTCATTCACTTTTCTTTCCTTTAGTATAAAAAAATGATTGATAAAACTGATCGATTCGAAGGCCAGCAGGAAGCAGGACTATAGTGTTACAGACGTCGAATGAAAGCTGAAACGGCCGAAATTGAGAGGAGGAATAAAACAAAAAAAAATGGAAAAAAGACAGTGAAATGTTGTGTGTCTTTTCGTGAAGCTTCTTTCCCGATCTCTGGCGAATATACGCGTACACACACGTGTGTGTTTCACAATCACAGATTCGCCCGTGTTCAACCTCGAGTGGCGAATAAAAATCTTGCCGAATCATCGATGAATCAGCGTAAAGATATTTTCCTCTCTCTGTTTCCGTAACTTTTACCGGTCAGCTCGTCTCGCCATTACTCGCGGAGGTACTTGGAAATTCATTGCACGCCCGACGGAAGTCGCGAACTCTGCGATAAATATTTCACGAGATGATAATTAATATCGGATAATTACTCGGCATGAATAACGTTAGGATTGTTCACGCTGGACCTACGTAGAGCCACGTAGTTTTTATTTGATTATCATACTAATCGATATTCGTATATTTTTGGAGAGGATTTGAAACTGGAAAAGTGTACAGAATGTTCAACCTTTTGTTAGTTAAATACCATATGCTTCGAACTTCAAATTAATTCAAGTATATAAATGTAGGTAATCGAACTCGTGTTTAATAATAAAAATAATAAATTTTATGTATATTTGATTGTTTTAATTCAATTGTTATAATTCTGCACGCTGTAAATTCAGAAGATTGACCGTGCAACGTTGTAGCAATCGTTTCGACTTCCGGCATACTTTGATTCGTGAATCACCTCAATTAATCTAACGAAGTTACTCACTCAGAACTCCGTTACGATTTTACAAACAGTGCGTAGAACCCAGTCAATGAGTCTTCTCCCTGGAATCCTGTCTTATTCAACGTTTGTGCTAGATATGTATTAATTGTAAGAAATATTATTAATATGTTTATATGTAGAAAATTCAAAGTCACGAATGTATGTGTGTGTGTGTATGAAAACATGAATGCAATATTTAATAAACGAACCATAAATCTATCACATCTCTCCTTTTTTTTAATATTTACTAAAATTATCAAATTATTCAAAGTTTGATTTACTGGCGTCAAATTTCTCTTTTTAAGGATACAAATTTGCACAAGTATAAATGGTTTCTTTCTAATAGATTTTTAACGATTTTCTGTTCCAGATACGAGTACGGCTACTGCAGAGTGGACTTACCCATCGGCAGCACCTTCTTATCCAGCTCCTCCGGTAAGCAGCGGTGGTTCGTTTTCACCGATTCCTGGAGGAGCGTTCTCGTATCCAGGAGAAGCACTTTCTCATCATCCGACGACAGAGCCAGTACCATTACCCACCGGTTAGTACCAAAGGAATTTATTCGCAGTACAACACTTTATAAGTTTTAATAATCATTTTTAAAATCGTTCATTTCCATCATTTTATCACACTGTCAAAGAATTAAATACAAGTCAGTGGTTTCTGTCATTTGGACATTTATTGACAATTACTTGTTAACACAAATATTCGTATAATCTTATTTTTATCACACTTATGTATTAAAAGGAAATCGTCAGGCACGAATATTTCTGTAAATCTGAATCAATTGACCTCGTACACGATTGTTCTTCAAACACCTTGAAAGAACATCGTAGATAAATCTAACACTCTAACATATCTAACACACTAACTATGTCTGAATCGATTAACTGTTCTGTACAAGATCAACAGATGTTCAGAGATATTTCAAATTTATGCCTGTCACATTTCAATCACAGCCTTCAAACATCTGAATTTACGCAAGAATCTACATAGCCAGCAACAACCCCAGTTCATCATTCAGAAACTCATCTCTTCATCACAACCTACACATTTAATCTGTTCGCTTCAACCACTTTCCAGTCTCCAAAGTGTTCAGTCTTTAACTAGAGTCGACACAATCGCGCACAAAGTCTGTTTTAAACCTTTCAGTTCTTCCGTCAGACAGTCAACAGGACACGTACACGCCGAACTGCGTTTCCATGTATCCAAGTCACGGTACATCGTCCACCTCGTTACCACTGGTAGCCGCCAAGTCCAACGATCCGGACATCTTCGCGGGCAGTGGGACAGGCAGCGGTAGTCCAGGTTATCACTACGGTTCCTGGACGTCTGGACCGGCCACCCCAGTTCCAGTCGCCTCTCACAATTACAATCCAAATTACCAGGGCTACTACAACAATCCAAGCCAAAATTACATAAGTCCAGCGCCTATGGTTCTCTATCCGCAACTGTACAGCACGGTGAATCAGAATCAGATTCATTTGCATCTTCACGGCGACTTGAGCGAGGAACAAGTGACAATCGCTGGGAGCAATCTGACGATCAGCAGCAACAGACTGGAGATCGGTGTCATGGGTGAGGAGAACGAGCAGAGGAACGACGTTTGGAGACCTTACTGAAGAGAGAAGCTTCAGAAGATTCAGTGATCTTAAGGCTTGGTACAGAGTACCGATCTGTTCTCGATTCGCTGGTCCACTGTTCTCGGAACAGAGATTGCACTCAAGATAGAGATAGTCCATTCTCCAATTCGGTATTTAACGATCTGTGATCGATTTCACATACCTGCGTTCGAGATGTAAATGTACATGTGATGTACCTTTAATTTCAAGACAGTTTCTACGGCTTGTTTAAATCGCTAAGAATCGTAAGTAAAGCTTCGATCCAAGATGGACTTTACGTACGTATCTAAAATCTGAACAATAAAATGATATTCGGAAACAGATTGTGAGTGAACCGCGAGCGAGTCGATGGTATGAATCGTGCCTCGAAATATCGTTCGACGAATGATATCGACAGACTGAAGAAAAGAGAAACTTCACCAGTGTTATACATGTGATATCGATGAATGATGATGTTTTCAAGGATTTGATAGTGCTTGGAGGGAAAAAAAAAAAAAGAAAAACAGAAACAGTTGATTTTTCACGGTAACGATTAAAAGAAATGGATGGATCAATTGATCGTGAGAAAGTCGCAAAAGTGTTAAGAAGGATCCGAACGTGTGAGATCGAGACTTGGCTCGATCGTTTGGAGGAAAAAGTGTCGCTGAAAGGAGCGTGTTAGAGGGATCACGGCTCGATACATGGTTGTAAACCGAGCCAGCTCGTACGTGTATCCGCAAAGTGGGAAGATAGTCATGTAACATTGTAAATACAGATATTTTCCATGAAATAAAATCTCGCCTGAACAGGTTCCTGCATACCCTCGTTCGCTAGATCCGTGACGAAGAAGCTTTATGCACAGTGCCATGCGTCAGAATAAAATGAATATCTGCTCTTCTTGTCGAATTGTGGAAAATTTATTTATCATGAAGAAAATTGAGAAGAAGTTTTATTAATTGTTAAGGAAGGTATCATTTTATTC